TATACAGCCTCAAGCTGTATTCAATTGTTACACAATATGAAGTAACCTTTACTTAACCTTAAACAAGCAAATCTGGCGAACTTATTCAGCTACTTATGGCTGTTGGGACGGTTGTGGGAAGCTCTTATTGCATATCTACTTACGCTTATATACAGCTGTTATTCTGCTATTTAGTTAGTTGTTTGTAAACTTGAAAGGCGCTTATTCAACCTTTTCCCGGTTATCCAATAATCACTACACAGCTTGGTCCTGAAGCCGAGTTAAATATTGTTTATTTTTTTATTGGGGGAATTTATTGATTTTATTTAACTGCGAATCAAAGTATTACCCTGCACCGGAACCTGGACTCGAACTCAAGAAGACCGCATTTGAAAACCTTGACACTACCAACTTCGCTACACCGACTCTTTGAACTGACGTAAACAAATCTACATGACCTTCTACAACAAGATAACCGAGTAAAGGCTTTATAATAGTACACATGAATCACTTTCCTCAACTAGTTATTTTAGCTTTGCAAAGGAGCGCAGTAAGAGCTGTAAAACTGCCCAAGTCTAAAAATAAACCTAGATAACTTTAGATCTTAGTTGGTAGTACCAACAATCAATACGAAACTAACGATTTTAAATTGGCTCACCACTTTAGTAGCCTATTGGTCCCAAGCAAACGATTAACGTACCCTATTCTAGTTGAAATTCTATTACTACACTATGTTTGTTTTGATTCGCTATGAAAGTTTGACAGATAACATCAGGGGTGTGTGGATTCATGCAGAACATGCAGGGGTGAGTGAAATAGCTTGGGACTGCTTGGGACCGTTGTTCTGGTACTGAGTGAGCCAAAAATAATAATGATTTTCTTCGCCGGCCGGATTTGGCGTCGGTTCATTACTCCAAGGACACGATAGTCTGGTATAAAGCCAACAAAGCCAAAGCATATTTGTGGAAACATGTAAAGGCAGCGGATTCCGTTACAAAGTTGGAAAGGCATCTGTGCTGAAGCTAATGAGTAGCATGAGATCAAAAATCCACTCCTTGGCTTGCGACTGATAGAATCTTGTATTTTCTACGTTTAACTATAAGAGACTACTATAGAGAACATGAATACAAAATAAAAATCGAATTTGCTTTATACAGATTTACGTTATAGTTTTTTTTTTAAATCGTGCTTAGACATTCTGGGACATCCTATATTGCAGAATGAATGATTTATTTGCTTGATTGGCCGAAGGGATGAGCTAGGCTGACATTACATCCCGTAGCCCTATAAGGAAACAAATTTTTGAAGCTATAGTTTTGCTCTATTCATTCTGTTTAAATCACAAATAAGAGTACACTATCCATTACCCTCCGTGACTCACCTATTACAGAGCTTATCAACGAATTCTATGCACAACCCAACCCCTCTCTTTTTAAAGCGTAACGTTATAAATGGATTTACCCCTGACTGCTATAGGAGCCACTGATATGAAAAAAATCCTATTCTAAGAAAGCTTAAGCTTAATTTTCTCAAAATGTGTTATAATTTTTTTTCATTTGTGTTGATAATTTTGACGTAGGACTACGTCTTTATGGAATATACTGGGGTGCCAATCCAAAAAATTGAGTGACAAAATAACGTCAGGTTTTGAACACTTATAACATGGTCATTAATGAATGAATTTCACATTTGATTACCCACTTTGATTCAGATTAAATGTAAGATATGTTTGGAATAAAGAAGATAGTTGTTTATCAATGATTATCTATTGAAAATAGATCAAACTTTTTAGCCGCAATCAACCAATCACGTTCTCGCTAACTATGACAGTGAAACGAGCCGATTGCGCCTGGTTATAAAAGATCATACCAGTATGTTTTGAGTCAGTTTGTCCGCGAGTATGACCGAGGACGTTCGACACACCGTTAGACGCTAGTGAAGGTTGACTTTAACTACTCGTTCCAATAAATAAATTCCCACCAAATGGAAGGATACCAGCAAAGATGTTCAGATAGGCATGGCCTAATAAATGGAGGACAGTTCTGTTGAGCGGCAAAACACCACCATTTGGCTACCTATTGTTTACATTAAACTAACATCTCCATTAGATAGAAGATTGTGGTCTTTGGCAAATTGGGCTTTCATGCAATATTGTCATAATATTCGTTGAAAGATTGCTGAGAAATGGCGATGGGTAGATGGCATCACCCATCGCGCAAATCGGAGATTCCTGTGTTATTTTCTTACAGCAGCTTACAGTAAAACCAAAAAAGCAACTATGGGAACAAACCTATAGATACTAAAACTACTTATATCATCAAACAACTTTAAAAAATATTGTTGTGACGCACGTCAACATGATGTGTTGACATGCTATCAAATGCCACACCTCCACCTTTAATAACCACTCAATTTCATAAATTTGAAAAATGAATTGTTCATTTTGGAGTTAAATTTCTAAACAATTAATTTTGATATTAATATATTATTGAATGGAGCAGGAAAAAAAAATCTCGTCGTCCTCCGTCAACAATGCGGTCGTGCTTTGAACACAACTCTTATTTTTTGTTCACCTGGAACAAAATTATAACCACATTTGTTATTAATAACAGAAGTTGTTTAAATTATGTTATAATATTTTTTTTTCTCTCTGGTCGGGTTGCTTTCAAAATTAGATCGCAAAAAGCCCCACCGAAGGAGAAGTTTGTTTTTATTTATTGTTTTGACGTTTCATAAGTTTGGTAGCTACAAAGTGTTTCAGAATGATGAAAAAATTGATATTTTTTCTGTATTGAATATTTGCAAGAATCTTGAGGATTTTAAATAGAACTGCCTGTGGTCCGTCTTCCCCTGCATGGCATCCATGGATTTGAGCAATAAGTTGAATAAAAGAGTATCAATTTTTAATTCGATAAAGTCTTATCAATGCAAAGGCGGATTTCAAACTGAGGCTGTTAGCAAAAATTAAAAAGGTAGAAGGGTCTGTGCCTAGGGGCACGAACGGAAGCTTGACGTAGGACCGCTAGTGAACGGAATAAATGTGAAGAGCATTTAGTTCTTTTAATTGATCAATTATCTATTATCTCAACTCTTTCCGTTTTTGAATTTTAGGCATACCAAATTTGTAGTATTTTTTTTTTCAAAAAGAAAGTTGATTAAGAGAATCAATCAAAATCACTTGCACCCCTGCTTCCAAGTTTGGTTACAAGATTACATTTCTGGAGAGCATTTTGTGTGGTCGTTGGGGGCTTGTGGTTCTGAATATGGACAAACAAGCACAGATAAATTCTATTCCAACTCTTTACTGATGTAAGCTTGATGGCCCAACTCTTTACTGATGTAAGCTTGATGGCCTGAAAAGGGCCGTTTTATTGAAGAGGACATCCGTGGCCACTTACGTTTGGCGTGTTTAGTGTAGGTGACAGCATCACGGATCTCATTTTTCAGGAACACCTTCAGCACACCTCGTAAATCAGACCGGAGATACGTCAGACACCGCCACGGCGAGCCAAACGACGGATGGATCTCGAAGAATTTGCGTTTGGTTCTGAATATGGCGATGAGTGTGCAAAATATTACGCAATTCCATCCTCCCTATTCGCACGCGCCCGATGATTGGAGGCGAATGCCACTTCGACTTGTTTCGTCTACTTACTACTCTCTGACGACTGTGCTGGGCAAGCAGCAGGTAATTGGTGGATTTGTTAGTTAATTCGACGCTTTCGGACAATGCTGGACATTTACCAGTTTTTCAATAGTTTTTTGTTGAAAACCAACATTCGGAAACATTGTCATCGATGCGTAGCCATATTTCTGATTGATTGGTGATAAAATTATTGAAATTGGACCAGGGGCAGCTGAGTTATTAACGTTAAAAATCTTTCTTAATTTGTTACATGTTCCATTTTCGGTTTTAATAAAGTGTACCCCCATATAGAAATCAAAGACGTAATCCTACGTCAAAAAAATGCAGATTTAAGAATTTGTTTGATGACCCAAAAGTTTTCATATAATGTTTCGAACCATATTTCTCTTTCTTTGTATGATCATCACATCATTTAAGATTTTTCTTGGCCTAGAAGAAGCCTGCAAGTAGTTGTTAGAAATGTAAAGTCAAAATTTTATCTTGTAAAGCGTCAATTGTGTGCCCCAAAATACACTTAAAATTTCAAATATCTTCATATGTCTTCTAAGTCTTCACAAAATATGAAAATGCCATTGAAATGTCTGCGAAATCAAAATGTCATTACATAAATTTGAATGTCATCCAAATGAAGACATGTCTTCAAATCTAACATCCCTGGCTTTATGTACTGTATGAATCTAAATCATTCCAGCTTAATTTCTCAAACATTATTCTCATATACAATGCACAGTTTGCACGAATTTTATGTGCAGCTGATTTCCATAAGGCATGGAAGTAGTTCTAAGGTGAGCCAAAGTTACCTTGGAAATGTAACATCCTTATGTGCATACGTATAGCTTTACCATCTGTAACATTACATCTAAAGTTACTCTCCTAATCATACTTTGCCGTCGCAAAAAAAGGACACGAACAGGATTTCAATATCAAATAACCGGTACCTCTCCCCAAACCACCTTTCTTCCAAGCACTCCTGTGATATGTGTAACAATAAAGTGAAAAGATCTTTGTTGCCTACATACCCATATTCACGAGCAGTATCATCATCATTCCAAAACTGCACTCAAAAGTTCGGAGCAAATCCAGAAGAGCGAAACCGAACGTTGCATTTCCGATGGAATGACGGCGATGTGCAGGTATACTCAATGAATAATGCCACATAACATCTCGGCAGGGAAGGGGACTAGATTCCATTTCGGGATGCATCGAACGATTCTCGGAACGTCGGTTCTCATCAACCCAAAATCATCGAATACATAATCGAAAAGCAGTGACGGTAAAAGATTGGTATACTTGGTGTTACCATTATATTCGGATGTTTGTTTTCCCAGCTCTTTGGGAAAATAATTGGAAATGCACACACATATTGTCTACTTACGCACGAAGATGTTGCTCATGAGCGTCGCCGGCAGGCAAAACACTATGACCAGCACGTCCGCCACGGCCAGGTTCACGATGAAGAAGTTGGTCACGGTTCGCATCCGGGGCATGCGGAAGACTACCGCAATGACGAAACTGTTCCCAATTAAGCCCACGATAAACACCACAAAATAGGCTACACAGTACACTGCCGTCATGGTGGACGAGTGCCGGTAGAACAGTTCATACTCTTCGTACGGACCGGTGTCGTTCGAAGCCGTTTCCTGGGCCTGAAAAAAGAGCGGAAAGGGAAATTAGAGGAGACAGTTATAAATAAAGATAGGCAGCTCTGCACTGTAAACGGGATGGACGTTCCCGAAAATAAACACCGGGAAATGACGTAAGAGATTGACTCACTAATAAATCATAGGCGTGCGCTGGTACGGGAGGTAACATAAGCTTCCAATTTTGACTCAAAGTAACACACACTTACGATGCCTAGCTTTTGTTCACTTAAACGGGGTGGAAAGCTCACTTCGAACAATTTGCAATCAAGGTCAGGGTAAGTGCGCACGAAGGTAGAACAACGGGTTGGTATATCTTGAATGAAAGCGTGGCAGAGGATGACGACGGTTTTCGAATTTTATGCACCATCTTTTATGTACCGGAAGTACGTACGATGTACCCCCAAGATGTTTAGTAAACGCTACACTGTTGGTTGACATGCAGCCGGTCGGTGGGGGTCAGGTAGTCTCTCTCCTCAAGTGCATCCGCTGAAACATAATTGTGCATCTCGAATTTTATTCTTTACTCTCTGGCATCGTTTCGTCCTTTCTTTCTGTTTTGTTTTCTTTTAGTCCCGTTTTATGGCAATTTTAATCCTGAAATTGAATTACGGTAAACTTTGTTTCAGAAACTGCGCTGGATACTCAGGAGGAAATAGAATCCGAGAAAGCAGATTGACAACCAAGTAGCTGCACTACGGGGGAAAACTTGTCCGGTTATACCGTTGAGCATTTCCAGTTTATTGTCAAAGAAAGGTGCTCGGAGTTGTGGACTCGGGCAAGACAACAATAGGCACAGCTCTAGAATAATTAAAACAATCGGAACCACTTGAACGGAGAAGATCAGCTGGATTTGAAGGCACGGTTTGAAATGTTTTTAAAGACGGAATAATGAGCAAATGTCACCCAGTAAATGGACGAAGTTCGTAATGCAAATTAAATTATTTGTTTTACCTTCTTTCACTGTCATAATAGCCAACCTGGAAAATGTGATAGCACGGCTGTCTTGTTGCCGAGAAGCAAGCTTGTTCACAGCGTCGACGCGTATTTTGCAGGTTCGGTATTATGACTGTTAACAATGAAGCCAATGATAAAATATTCTTGCAATCACTTACCACATTTCCAGGCACCAAATTATACTATATTATAATCATATTATACAATATGATCCACTCTTTCGCTAAGCTGGCGAACCGAATTTTTAGCGCTTAATGTGCCTCTGGCTGCCGATACAATTGTTTATCTTCACGAGGGGTAAACCAAATGAAAATTTGTACAATATAGCGTGTCCCAAAAAGTATAAGTACACTTTCAACTCGCCGCCAATTCTACCCCGATGAAGTTTATCAGCTGTTCATCGATGTGTGTTGTTGTTTACTTTTTGTTCAACAAGTGTGTGTGCGCAAAGTGCATTTTTTACAAAATCTACAAAATGCGAAGCATTTCCTCGGAAAAGCGCAAACAAATCGTGCACAAATGGTTCACTATTCCCATCGTATCAGTAAGGAAGTTGGCGAAAACGGAGGAAGTAAGTATCGGAGCAGTCCAAACCGTCATCCGGAAGTTCGGTGAAGAAGTTACCTTAGAGCACACATCGACCAGAAGATCACCAAGCTTTCTTTAATAAGAAAAATGCATCTGTTCGAGATTTGGCCAAAAAACTGAAAACATCGAAGAGAAATGTCCAACGTGCCAAGGCAAGAAACGGGCTGAAAACGTTCAACAAGCAGAAGAAGACAAAACGCAGTCAGAAACAAGCTGCATCCATCAAACCGAGGGCTCGGAAGCTATATAGCCTGATCATGGACGATGAAACATACGTCAAATTTGTCTACAAGATGCTTCCAGGAGACCAATACTACACAGTCCGTGATGGTCAGGAAGTTGACGATGCCGATAAGTCAATAACCGAAAATTTAGGAAGAAGGCCATGGTTTGGCAAGCGATATGTGAGTGTGGCAAGCCCAACAAACAATTCAGAGTCACAAATAAGCATATATATTGAATAAATGCTTTATAACAGTGTACAATGCTGAATAAAACGGGTTGTCAAATTATGTGCTGATAAAACCTTATTTCGAATACGCCATTTTGAAATTTTAGGCAAGTTTCAAAATAGCCGAATTCCAGCACAAACTTGATTCATTACCCCTAGCGAACAATTATGCGTAGATTCTTGGAATTTTGAGAAGTAAAATCTAGAAATCCGTCTATTTGTTTGCTATTTGGCGTGGGTTTGCTCATACGTATAACAAATTTATGTATCGAAAATTAAAAAAAAAAATCTGTACCATTAGGGCCCATGCATTAATTATTTCACGCTAAATCGAGCAAAAAATACCCCCTCCCCCCTATCGTGACGTTTTTCCTATACCTTGTCACAAAATCTTAAACCCCCCCCCCCTCTCCCCCCTTAGAGCGTGACATTATATATGCATCAACCCTTACACATACATCTGTAAACAAACGAATCAAACGAATCAAATCAAACGAACACCTCAAATCACATTAGAATTAAAAAAATCTAGTTCAATAGTAGTCATCTGGGGGCCCAGTGCCACATTGGTCACACCTGGCCATGTTTCAATCCCCCCGGAAAAGTAGCCAGCTTCTGAATATGATCAAAAACCATTGAATCACATTAAAATTCAACAACCAGTTCAATGGCAGTTACTAGGAATAGCCAGGATCCAGTCAATTTACGGAAACCCTGGATCAAGCGGATCAAAATCCATTATGCGATGCCTCAAATTACATTAGAATTCATCTACTTCCTCTATGCTCTGTTTAAGAAAGTTGTGACTAGGAAAGTAAACAGAAAATTATATTGCTGGGTGCGAAGGATATTGTAAACAAACCGAAGCACACCTGACGGCCAATGCCGGAAACAACTAGGTCCAACCATGATACAAATATAAATTAGGAATTTTGTCAAATATTCAAGCTTTTGAATAAAATTAATGCAATAATATTCTGCTAGATTACATCTTTTAGTAGTATTATACTGTACAAATACTTTGAAAATGTAACTAAACATTCCTCTTGTGGACGTTCTAAAGTGAGCCATGTTGATGAGAAAATAAGTTAAAAGTAAACTTTTTTTGTAAACGTAATAAAACCGAAATTATGTTAATCACTAAAACAAATATTTTTTCATAATATGAGCTTTTAGAAGAAGTTAGACTTTCTTGGACTTAAGGAGTTGAAGGACATTCTCCAGCGTCTCAATCAGTAGATGCTGACGCATTACCTTTGACTGTTTTCATGTTGGCTTAATAACACTGAACTTTCTCTGCAGCGGTCTTGGGTCGTTTCGGATAACCGTCTGCCTGACGATTGGCCGATCTTCGATCGATCTTTGGAAGATTTCAAGGGACTGCTAAGCCAGCATTTTTCTGTTGTCTACTATTTTTCACTAACACTATTCCACCACACATATTCTTTAATTTGCACCCCAGTATAGTCGACAAAAACGTAGTTCTACGTAAAACAAAATCTATAAAACGCAATGAAAATTGTTTGTGACAACACAAAAAAACGAACACGGCTCATCTAATAGATATAACGTTTGACTCAAAGTTCCAGAAAACTAGATTAACTTTTCAGAAAAAAATACACACTGCAAAAAAACGTATCAGTTAAATGTTTGTACTTTTATTCCACGCAATATTTACTTAATGAGCGCATAAGAAAATTGTGTGCTAAAACAAAGATCCAAATTTTTAATAGAAGTTGATGTTTTACGATGTTGGTCAATTTTAAAGTGTTCTTAGAGTGCAATTTAAGAAAAGCTAACATGTTTTTTTCAAATGAACATATGTTTAAAAATCAATAAAATGTATCCTGATTAATGTGGGCGTCTTAGTGGAATACCTGTATACTCGAGTATTAGTACAAGACACTGAAGAAGTCTGCACATTGTAGACGAAATACGGGTATCTGTCAAGGATAATCAAATAAGTTAGTGGAATTAAATAGAAATTACTAATCCTTCTCTCTCTCTCTCTTTATAATAAAATGTACTTTTTTTGCTTTTGAAGATTTTAACAGTTTTTTTTTTATTCTTTGACGAAACTAAAGGTATTTTTCCAGTGTTTTTTTTAAGACAACTCAGTTCCTATAACTTTCTCTCAGACATCATTTCGATAAGATCAGCCGTTATCGTGCTACCATTAATTGAAAAATTTCGAACACACAACACACAACATTTTGAAAAATTAGGCAAGGTTCAAAAAGGCCGAATTCCTGCACAAACTGGAACCATTTCCCCTAGCAAACAAATATGCGAAACTTCAGATACAGATACAGATACAGATACAGATTTTTGAAAAAGCATATAATTTATACAGCATTTGGGAAAAATATACAGATTTTACAGATTTTTTTTTTTTTACTTTTACTGAAAATGATTTTTGAAACTCAAAATAAAGATCAAGATGTGATAAAATGTGGCATCACTGAGCGCAGTGCACCTGCAATGACACTCTGTCTACCGTGTCAGGTCTTCCCACCACACCACCGACCGATCTCTGTCTCTCGATCCCTCGATACAGCAGGATGGAAATAAAATAATTTATTTTCATCGATTTCAGCTTTTCAAAAGAGGTGAAAAAGCGATGCTTTTGATGTTCACTTTTCGTTTCCTCTCTGTGTTGGTATTTGTATGCCTAAATGCACGCTTCCAAGTGGAAGATGGAGTGATGGATTTTTTGTTTCTCTACAATTTGATAAAAATCGCCAAACGCTCTATCACACAGTGTGGTAAAAAAAATATTTATGCATTCATATAACGGGTGTTCAATAAAAAATGAGAATGATTTCAGTGCCGTCCAGCGTTCTTGTGAGAGCATCGCGACTAAGTTGCGTCATACGGCTGACCAAGGCCCCTTCTCCAATATTCATTGACGTTTTTTTTTGAAGAATAAACATTATGATTACCTCGATATAACGTAATTGTCACTTTTGACTTCAATCGCCGGTTTCTCGCAAACTATCTTTCAAACTAG